TGTGTGCCCTCTCCATGCCAGAAAGCAGATGGAATGTGAGGCGGCTCCAGTCTGGTTTTATCCAATTAGCAGGGTTGTCAAAATGAATTTATCCACGGAGGCAGCGGGACAATGGCCCCGAGAGAACAGGGGCCCCGGTGTCTTTACTTAGCACGCTCACAATGAACTTCTGTCAAGTGACTCTCCCACCACGACATATAAGGCACTCTCATACCTACACACACACACACACACACACACACACACACACACACACACACACACACACACACACACACACACACACACACACACACACATGCCTGCACATTGTCGCCAACAACATGGGACGCTCTGCTCATCGAGCTTCACCCTCGTCCCTCTTTAAGTCCTTAAAGTCAAGACACGGGTTATCCACGATCAATTCTGAAGTCCTTGAAGGAAAGTCACACGCCTTTATAACCAAAAGTCAAGATTCTCCCTGAATGTTTACCGTAAAGTATCACAGGCTTTGACATGTTTATTTCCTGGGTTCTGATTCTTATACCACATCCTACGATAAAAGCTGAAAAGCATTGATCAAATACCAGTGCGGTTTTTTCCAAATTTAAAAACTGCACATCTCAAGGAACTTAATTGAATAGGTTTGAAAGTGCTATGGCAATAAAAGCTGAATGTTACTTTGAACACTTTTGTAGTGACATTGACAAAGAATTAGTGTTTAATGTGGATCGTTGACTTCATGGGCAATATCCTATCCGTATAATGAGGTCAGTGTTTTTTTAACACAGTTTCTTTCGGAGTGCTTGTATGTAATAAATGAAAAGACAATGTGGGTCCATGCAAGGCCCACCTGTCGCAGGAGCTGGGTTGTCTTAAGGCATTTCAGTAGTAGTCTCAAATGTTAAAAATCAAAGCAGATGTACACAACACTATATTGTGAATTATTGAGTATCAGACTGAACAACACAACTTTGAATCAGACCAACTTTCTACTATGGGAGTTTTTTTTTTTATAATCCCTTGATTTTACAGATTCAACATTTATTTTTGTCCTTCTTTTTGAGTCAGCTAAGTCAGATCTCACCGTGGTTAAGTGTCAGTTCCTTCACATGATTACACAAATAGATCTGAGATCAGTTCACAGAGTTCTCTTCACTGCAGCGTCACTGAAGTATGTTTTAATTCAACAAAGTGTTGGACACGCAGTGCTCACTTGTAAGGCTTGAACAGAACAGAACAGTCACGGGGACACATTAACACGCACACACATTCCCCTGGTTCCTAATTTAGGAGAGCTGTCTGTGTGCGTGCTCTGGTTTTTATCAGTCTCGCTGATGCGTAGGAGGCTCCTCTCTGCGACTTCTCCGGGAAGGATGGGTGGAAAAAGTTGGACGTGGATGTCGGGGCCAACTTTTCATCTTGAGGCTGGGTATCCGCTAAGCAAACACAGGACCCAGCTGACTAATGATTCAGACAGACTGTTTTTAGGGAGTGATGATGTACGAGAGGCCTTCTCATACTCTATCAGAGCTCTGTCTCTTCTCCTGTCTCCCTTTCATTTCTGTGGGAAACAAGCCATGTTCTCATTGGGGAAGTAGTGCGTGTGGTTTACGGTTGGTGACTCTCGCAGTTGGGACAGGTGTTTGGTACAGATGTGTGTTTTTATGGGCAGTCGTCCTCGTTGTGTCCATACAGAGACCAGACTACTGAAGCCGCAGAGCTTCAGCTTGGCGTAGTGTTTGTTTACTGGGTAAGCCCACTACTGACGGGTCACTGAGAGGAGGAGTGAGGGAATTAAGCTCTGCATGTGTCTGCTGGGCTCTTATCAAAGAGGCCCTATTATGCTCTTTGAGGTTTCCCTTTGTACAGAATACAAATATGAGCCTGAAAATGAGCAGAATAGCAGGTAAACCTAAACTGCTTAAATGGCCTCTCACAGCTCACGGGTCTTAAAATTGCGAGTGTTTCAATAACAGTCCAAAAAAGATATTATATGTTCATGTGCACAAAATAGCTAAGAGCCACACATTTGAGAAGCTTGAGCAAATGATTGACATGTTTTAATATTTATTTGATACATGTGGATAATTATCATCTGACTTTTTAGTGTCTTTAAGCTTTTGTTTTGTTTTTTCTAGCTCACAACTTGATTCGCTCTCGGCTCTCGTTTAATGTTAGGCCACAACTTAAAAATAAATAAAAATCAAACGAGCTTGCAGCACTTAAACAAAACACAGAAAAATAAGTTGTTAAAAGTCAACATCTTGAAGAATTTAGCTGCTCAAGAGCCAAAAGCTGGTGGCGAGCAAAAGAGAGGGACTTACATTCATTAGTGGGAAACTCGACTCCAAACTGCATTAGCTTAATAAATGAATGAAGCATCTGTTGATTCACAGACACTTTTATTGACTAATCGTTACAGTTCTGTTGGGCTGGAGTTAATCAAGGCTCCTTATGTCGTGAGAATTAACAATCTCAAATTGTTTACACACATCCATAATATGCAATCAAAGCGTAGCAGCGCGATGTGTGGCGAGGCTAACCGCAGATTTTCCGTCGCCCTGCTGCTTCGCTCATTTTCAATAAATGTACCAGGCAGCCAAACGTGTTCACTGTTGCCATTAGATGATGGAGGTGCACTCACTGTAAGAGTTTCCATTCTCTTAGTGTGTGTGTGTGTGTGTGTGTGTGTGTGTGTGTGTGTGTGTGTGTGTGTGTGTGTGTGTGTGTGTGTGTGTGTGTGTGTGTGTGTGTGTGTGTGTGTGTGTGTGTGTGTGTGTGTGTGTGTGTGTGTGTGTGTGTGTGTGTGTGTGTGTGTGTCACTCTGAGCTTCATCAATCATCCCCTTGCCATAATAAGACCAGGACAAATATGTATGAGAAAGTTTTGAGCTCCATCGTTGCAGAATATGCCCTTTAAGTGTGTGCATGTTCAGCGAAATGCATGTATACGATATAGAGGGGGGGGAAGGAGAGTTTTGCAGGACCACCCTTCTCATCCTGACGGGAAGTTGTTAGTTTAACCTGACAGGAAAGAATTTGGAAAAACTTGGCAGTAAGCGACAAGGGAGAGAGGAGAGCTCCCCTCTCTGCATTAACTGTTAATAGACTGTCCATTGCCATCTCCACTTTCCTCCCCATGCATACCCATATTAAAACCCTCCATCTCTCACACACTCCTCGATATATATTTCCCTCCCCCTCCTCTTACTGCCTCTCATTAGTCGTTCTTTGTCCTGACTCCTGAATGCAGCCTGTGTGTGTTTCCCCCCCCTCTACCTGTATCGGTTACACCTGAGCGGGAAGGTGCAGGGGTCGGGTTACGGCCCGCAGAATGAGGCGTCCCTTTGATGGGCGCTGGCTGGATGCAGGCGGAGGGTCAGCGTAGGATGGGGGCTGGCGGAAAAGAAAGGCTTTATTTGTGTCTGGAGTTTGGCAGCTGAGGGTACCGGGGTTGTGTTTCCTTAATGGCCGCCTGTTTGTGTACGTGTGTGTGTGTGTGTGTATACAAGTGAGCGGGGTTACTTCAGAAATGTAGTCCCCTGCAAAGAAGATAGCTTATGAATCAAGATCGGCTGTTTGGATGCTCTGTGTATGTTTCCAAGTTGTGTGAGAATACGTTTTATTTTGTTTAAGGTACCAAGGTCTTTAAATGACCCTCTGACCTTCCTCTTAAAGTGTTTTCTATTTCCTTCTGACCTCTGTGTTGTAAGGTAAAGCCCAATCACCAAACATGTGATAGCTCCATGGTTTTCAAATGAGAGAATTTGCTTCCCTCTTAGTATGTTTTCTGACTTTTCAATAATGGTTATCTTTAGTAACTGTTTGCACGAAGAAATGTCAACCCCTCGCCTGGGTTGTGTTTCTTTAATGGCCGCCTGTTTGTGTACGTGTGTGTGTATACAAGTAGCTTATGAATCAGGATCGGCTGTTTAGACGCTTGATGTATGTTTCCAAGTTTTGCTAGCTTTGTGTGTTTGTTTCAAAGTGGTTTATGCTGTTTGTTTTAAACGTACCAGCTCTTCTGTGAGTGACCCTCTGACCCTCCTCTGCGTGTGTTTCAGGGGGTAGTGTATGGAAGATGTCTGGAAAGCGAGACTGGACTCCGTGGATGAAAAAGAGAAGGGCTCCAGTGTTGTGCGCTCTGGGTGCAGTGCTGCTGTGCTGCCTGCAGGGCGGCGCCTGTCTATCTGGTGAGTACACAAACTAACAACCTGCAGAAATGATCCGTTAGTGGGCTTTCTGTCAAACTGTTTATCACTGACCTTCTGTATGAATGCCTTGTATTAGTTTTTCCAAACACCTGGTGCAGGATAAGTCTTGCCAAGAACAAAATCTCCTGGCACAGTCTCAGTTGGCAGCAGGAACAGCAGTTTATTTGAAATGAACTGAAGAAGTGGGTAGTTTGAGTTGTACCAGCCAACATTAATGAACTGAGACAGAAAAGAAGTACTGTGCTGCAGCGATTAGAGCAGTAAGTGAGTAATACATCATAAATGAAATGGTTTCAGGTTGGTTCCAGGTTCGCCAAATGCTAGAATAAGCTTCTTTCTTACTACATAATTACATATTAAGACTTATTGATAATGTTAATAGATGTCCAACGAAAATCCAAGGTGTTGCATTGCTGGAAACATTTGACTATATGCTGATTGGCAAAAAAAATATTTTTATGTCATTCTGACCTCTGCTGTATTTATAAGGCCCGTTATTGAATAGTACATGGAAAGGACATTAATGGACAATTTTTTTGGATGATTCATTGATAGAAAAGTATTTTTTAAAACAAAAATTCCCAAATTTGATAGCTACATCGTTTTCAAATCAGGAGAATTTGCTGCCTTCTTAATATTTTTGGGGACTTGTTAACTGTATGTATGTCAGAAGAAATTCCTAAGTGTCACACTGCTAGCCACATGGAAATGTCTTTAAACCAAAAGTGTCCCATGCTTTTCTTAAATGTGCTTGCTGACCTAACCCTTTTCCTTTTTAGATGAGGTGCCATTCTTCACTGAGGAGCCCATGTCCGTGGTGCAGAAGCTGGGCGGCAGCGTGAATCTCCGCTGCAGCGCCCGGCCGACCTCCGCCAACATCAGCTGGCGTCTGAACGGCATGGAGCTGCTGGACGGGTATCTGGGTGTGGTTCTGGGCCCCAACAGCCTGTACATCCCCACCCTGTCCAACCTGACTGTGGGCAGATATCAGTGTGTGGCCAGCACCAACGCAGGGTCCCTGGCTAGCGTTTCTGCTAACGTCACCGCTGCCAGTGAGTAGCCGCCCACACAAAGACAGACAAATAAACACAAACACACACAGAGGCCCCTTTCTGGTTAGTCAGCATCCAGAGACTTAATGTTCCTTGATTAAAACAAAAACAGTGAAGAGGCTGTATTTGTTACAACTCTGTAAACTTTTCCACTGCTGAGCGTCTAATCTTCACCAACTCCACTTCTGATCAAACACACACTGATGGTAACACTCACTGATTGTCAGAGATAGCAAAAGCACACGCATGCTTTACTCAAGTAGAAGTACAGATACTCGTGTTTAAAAATACTCTGGTAGAAGTACTGACTAAACTTCTTTACTCAAGTCAAAGTAAAGAGGCTTTGAAATGTACTTCAGTAAAAAGTACCCATAACTAGCAGCTGTTTTAAAGAGTACCTGACCTCCCTTTATATTAATAGAACAATAATGTCATTGTTAGCTAATGAATGTTTCCATGCTGAACAACGGCAACATGACAACGTTTTCATTGGTCCCTCTTCTTTAGAGAAGACCAGGAAATGATGGATACACGGATTCAAATCAATAGGCACGCAATGACTCTAAATAATAATGATCACGCCACCAAACACACATTCAGACTAAAGGAACCAGCCTGTTTGGGAAATGTGAGAAGTAGAAAGTACAGGTATTTGGGTTCAACATGTAAGAAGTAGAAAGTACAGGTATTTGTGTTCAACATGTAAGAAGTAGAAAGTACAGGTATTTGTGTTCAACATGTAAGAAGTAGAAAGTACAGGTATTTGAGTTCAACATGTAAGAAGTAGAAAGTACAGGTATTTGTGTTCAACATGTAAGAAGTAGAAAGTACAGGTATTTGAGTTCAACATGTAAGAAGTAAAAGTAAAAAGTTGTCAGAAAAATAAGTAGTGGAGTAAAGTACTGATACCAGAAAAATGTACTTAAGTAGAGAAACGAAGTATTTGTACTCTGCTACTTCCCACCTCTGGTGATTGTTTACTATGCGTAACAACAGCTGCTTTAATGCACTGTCATTGATCTAATAAAGTTATTCTCAGCTGCGGACACTTCACTGCTCTGCTCTGAGTGTGTGTTATATTTGATATGCATCCTGGGACCGAGCAGGGGCCCGAAAGCTGTGTAACTTGAGCCAGAGGAATGGAGGGGACCCAGGGGCCGGTCAGAGCTGGAAGAGGGGACTCCAGCCTGGGGGCCCCCTGCTTCCATCGGCCTCTCTGCTCCACACAACACCACATTCCTCTCCACAGGGCCCGACAGCAGGGCTCGGCAGAAATTATGGCCCCGTAATTGGGTAAAGGGCTGGGGGGAGATAAGAGAGGGGGTGGAGAGAGGG